CCTGCCTATCTGTCTGCCTGCCTGCCTGTCTGTCTGTCTGTCTGCCTGCCTGCCTGCCTGTCTGTCTGCCTGCCTGCCTGCCTGTCTGTCTGTCTGCCTGCCTGTCTGTCTGTCTACCTGTCTGTCTGTCTGTCCGTCACAGGGTCAATAAAGTCTTAGTTTATCTTACCTTCTATGACCCAATGTCTGACCATATCTGACCTGACCGCATCTTTTCTATCTTATCTAGTCTTCTATGACCTTATCTGACCATATCTGACTTGACCGCATCTTTTCTACCGTATCTAGTCTTCTATGACCTTATCTGACCATATCTGACTTGACCATATCTTATCTTAACTCATCTAATCTGACTTGACTTGACCTTATCTTATATTATCTTATCTTAGCTTTTATGACTGGACCTATCTTATCTCATCTTATCTGACTTGACTTGACCTTATCTTATATTATCTTAGCTTATCTGACTTGACCTTATCTTATATTATCTGACTTGACCTTTTCTTATATTATCTGACTTGACCTTATCTTATATTATATATTATCTGACTTGACCTTATCTTATATTATCTGACTTGACCTTATCTTATATTATCTGACTTGACCTTATCTTATATTATCTGACTTGACCTTATCTTATATTATCTGACTTGATCTTATCTTATCTGACTTGATCTTATCTTATCTGACTTGACTGTATCTGGTCTGATCTCGTGTACAGATAGACCGAGAGCTGGAGGAGCGAGTGCGCAGTCTGGAGAACCTGTACCGTGACGTGTGCACCGAGAACCACAGTCTGAGGCGGGAGCTGGCCGCGCTGGGCGAGAAAGCGGGGCCTGTGGTCAAGTACACAGCCACCATCGCGGCGGCCACGCCCAGGTCACGCCTCCGCATGGCGCTGGACTCTGGCGGAGATTCTCACTTTGATTTTGACGCGACGGATGGGGGCAGAGGGGAGAAGGAGCCCGGAGAGATCGAGGTGAAGAGGGAGCGCGACATCACCGTGGATTAAATTTGGGGGAATTTTTCTTTTTTGTAAATCGGCGGCTGTTTGATGCGAGGGAAGTCAAGTCGTTGGGCGCTCTTTTCTTGTTTTTTCCTCGTCTTCGGCTTCGGTTTCTTCCAGCCAGCTTGTTGCCACCAGGAGATGGAGGAAAACACTAGTAGCCCTGTCCTCTTCCTGGGATAGACAGATGGACGGACAGGAGATCTACTACTTTTACTACGCAGTTTGGGTCAAGTGTTGTTGTTGCTGTTGTTGTCGTTGTGATGGGGTTTTTTGTTGGCCTTTGAGAATGAGGCTGGTGCAGGCTGGTGTACAGGGAGGAGACTGACCTTTGTGCCATGTGATGTCATGTCATGTGACCTCATGTCATGTGATGCTCCACTCGCTGGCTGGCTGGCCCGCAGACACGACCCCCCCACCCCCCCGTGCTTCTTCCCCGAGTGTGCTGAGATGCTCCGAGGTTTCTCTGAGATTCCGTACCACTTTGCTGTCACAGTACACAGCCAGCAGTACAAAATTCCCCATCTGGTTACCCAGCCAGGAGAGCGACTGCAACGTTGTTCTTGGGCCTGGTGCAGAACAGAGGCGCAGAACTGCACCCGGTGGCCGGAACGGATAAATTTTCAAGTCAAGTGACGGCAAAATGTTCAGTGTGCTCGGAGGATCTCTGTACTGTGTCGTGATGAGATTCTTGGAGTTGTCTCTGTACTGTGTGGGCTCCGAGATTCTCTGGTGGTCTCTCTGTACCAGCATGTGATCTGAGATTCTCTGTACTGTGTGCTGAAGTTCTCCCGAGTGTGCGGCGAGATTGTCTCCTGTGCCACCACGACGTGACGTCTGGACCAGCGAAGGCGGCTAGGGTGCTGGACGACGTCCGGTGCTGTCTGCCCGTCTGGCCGGAGTGGTGGGCTATGAGCTGGCCCCAGCTGTACCGTGTGACTCGATCAGTGTTCATAGACTCTAGTGACCCGTCGGAGGATTTGGGGTTGTTGGTTTTTGTTTTTTTTCAACTTGTGACTTTTTGTTTGTGAAGCTCTCGGAGTTGTCGACTCTCATCAGTGTGGACTGAGCCAGTGTATTCGACGGCGACGCTGATGATGATGATGACTCCACCCTTCTATTATAGTTTGGGCCTCCGGTATTGTTGTGATTACCCCCCCCCCAATACACACACACACACTCCCACCCTACACCCTCTCTCTTATTTTACCCGTAACCATTCCACCCTCTCCCGCCCCCCAAACCATGTCCTTCCCTCCCCAACTAACGAGTGATCTTGTCGACCAGCTTCCTTCTCCGTTCAATACAAACCCAAATTGGTTTGCTCACCTCCAAAATTTAGAGGCCCATTATGGCCCTAATGTTGTATGGTTCCGTTTGCAATAGAACTCTTTCGGAGGTAGAGCAGATAGAACTATATAGTTCTAAGCCTATATCTAAGAGGTAGTGGCACGCCCAACTCAACTAACAGCCACTTGGATGCTGGGACAGTGACGTCACCCGGCACCAGGCACATACAGAGAGCCTGTGTTGTGCATTTGTGGTGAATTTGTCGTGTATTTTGTCGTGCGTTTGTGGTGAATTTGTCGTGTATTTTGTCATACATTTGTGGTGAATTTGTCGCGTATTTTGTCATACATTTGTGGTGAATTTGTCGTGTATTTTGTCGTCCATTTGTGATGAATTTTGTATTAATTGTCATGCATGTGTCGTGTATTTGAATTTGACATGTTTATTGTGTATTTGAAATGTCATTGCTGTGTAAGGTATTTGCATGAATGTGTATTGAAATTGAATTTGATGTGTCTATAGCTTAGCGTACAAGAAACAAGGTTTATTGTGTATTTGAAATATTGCTGTCGTGCATTTATCGTGAACTTGTTGTGAAATTGTTACGTCTTTGTATGAAGTGCATTTGTAAGGATGTTGTCATGTATTTAACGTGAACTTGTTGTGAAATTGTTACGTCTTTGTATGAAGTGCATTTGTAAGGTTGTTGTCATGTATTTTTGTCGTGAATTTGTCGTGTCATTGCAGTCGTGTATGGGTAACGTCCATG